TGTTATCATAATTCAACCTTTATAGTGTTACTCTAAATAAGTCCATGAGTATAATATACAAAAAAAAGTTAACTTGTAAAACACGCAAGCCTCACGTGTATTGTTATTTATAACTTATCAATGTTATCATATACATATCAAGTTATGTGAATGGGTGGTATTTGTAATTAAATGAACATTGTCAAAGCTTATAATTTAATAAATATATTTTTTTTATTTACCGTATTTTCTTGGTTGTTTTATTTAAGAGCCGCAGTAGCACAACGAGAGATTGGTTGCTTCTCCATTTTACAGGACTACGATTGGAAATCCCTGTAGCCAGGGCTGGGCAAAATACATGCTACGTCTGAATTGAAATACAAATTACAAAATACTTTCATGGGGTGTATTTAAAATACAAATTACAAAATACTTTATTAATATACCTGTCGCGACATGTGGAAACCAACAATTTCCTTCAAAGTTTCTTCCACAATAAATCTTGAAAAAGAAGTTTTAAATTATTCAGTTTTACTAGAAAAAAACTGTTAAACCAATCGATACAACCATACTACAGAGCACGTAGTACGTACAATTATTATTAATATTTCCATACAAGACGAACACTTTATACGGGCTGTATATTTGAAAGGGAGACATACTTATAGAGTGTGTTATATTCCCGATTCTGAACCAAAAAAAAATAAACTAATGAACTTAAAGTTAACAAAAAAATATTTTTTTATTTTAGACTAGACTACTACTTGTGAACAACATTACTTATCGAAATCTATGCACACCACTATTATTGCTCCAACAGACGCAGCGGCGAGTTGAGCATGATTTCAAGCACTGGAAATACGACACTAATGGCAAGGACTTGAAGTATAATTTCTAGTGCTTTAAATCATACTCAAGTCCTGACTTGAGCATTGAGTAGAGTTCTGGAATACGACCCTAAGTTATAACCGCGAAACGTTGACTTTGACGTCTTTGACTTTACCATGCAGTGTTGCCTACACACACACACACACGAATGCGCTCATACACACACACACACACACACACACACACACACACACACACACACACACACACACACACACACACACACACACACACACACACACACAC